TAGAAGAAAAAATATATAATATTATTTATTTATAGTACAAGAAGATCACAGTTATTCTTAATAATTAGATGGGAATAGAGAAGTACGAAATAAGTTATTGATCATGCTCAAAATCTAATAATATTTTTTTAAAACATTGTGACACACCCTTGGCCTACTGAATTTATACATCATGCTAGGAATGATTCTAACATCTTATGCGAATATCCATGGTTTTGTATTATACAATATCATGACAGAATCGATTTTCATGATTGGCGTATGCATAACAACAATGAATTGGGAAACATACCTATCAGATGTAATTCGGTTTGGTAAATAAAGTACCAAAGATCGCTCAAAAGTAGAAATATTTAAGGAAATTAAAATTATATCCCAAAATTTTAAATTTTACGTTGGTATACATTTTTTCTTTCAATTTTTATTTTTTACAAAATGCCTTTTCGTTTGTTGCTCTCAATACAAAAGTGGGTTGAGTTGGTTTTATGCAAAAAAAAAAAAAAATAATTTGGTATCAAGAGTATCAAACATAAAAAAAAAAAAGTATAGTCCGGTGCTCTCAGTACCGAAACATAAGAGAAAAACAATCGTTTGGTACTGAGTGTAACAAACATAACATTCAATGTTTGGTACTTTTTAGTACCAAACTATATAAAAGGTATGAATATGTTGTATTAAAGGTATGAATATGTTTTATTATAGTCTTTATATCAAAAAACCTTTTTTTTGGGTAAAATATCACCTTTGACACAGTTGGGACCTAAGAGTATTGCATTATAAGGAATTTGGGAAAAATTAAATAAATAGAAAAAAGGTCATTAATGCAAAATTCAAAATTCTTGAGATATTTAAGATGCATTTAACTTCGACTCACAAGAAATAAATAAGGAAATATTTAAATAGTAGGAAAAGGAAATTAAATCGGCAAGCAACAAGATAGATTGAAATAATCTACATAAGAAGTGAAATTTATCATAGAGCACAAAAGATATGAACTACTTAAAATCTCACCCAGCTTTTAAGTTATTTTCAAATGTATCATAAAGCACTCAAGAAATGAAATAATTAAAATCTCACCCATCTTTTTAGTTATTTTCAAATTATCTATATTTAACTTAAAAAATACATCAAGGGTATTAATAATAATTCAATATTTCAAGTAGGACTAGTTTCCAATTTTGCCTTTCCATCCAAAGATAAGAGGTCTTTCTCTTTCTCACCCCCATCTTTCTCTCTTTTTTGTCTCTCTCTCTCTAAATCTTCTTTATCGAATATTAAGAACATCATTGTTTAATAGTGATTTCTTTTGAGAAACCTTGAAGTTTTTAACAGTAAAGTTGAAGAAAGCTTGGTTTTTGTTGGAAACCAAAAAATGGAAGCCTAAACAACTTGCATTGAAGGCGATCAATTTTTTAAAGAGAAATCACAGGAAATTATTCTACAGAGACAAAAAAAAACGTTCAATTTATAGCATTAGATAAAAAGAGGTGAGAGAAAGAGAAAGTTATAGAAAGAAATGAGACATAACACCAGTTATTCAGACAATGTTTGAGAGAGAGAAAAAAGTAACGTGTACTTTTGTTAGAGAAAAACAATTTTAGGGAGAGAATCTCTTAAACAGGACCAAGAGGGTGGAGATTAAAAACTAGAGAGAGAGAAAGAGAGGAGCTCGTTTTCGATGGAGGGGCAATATTGGAAATTGTCTCATAGTTTTTGTGATGAAGGGTAGGTTTTAGAAAAGGGAAATGTTTAGATAGAGTCAAGGCTCTAAACAATCAAATTAGAGCCCACCTCAAAATTTCAATGGAAGAGGTTGTTTTGATCCTCAAATATCTTCAAATTGATCATCTTGACATCAAGATGCATGAACATAAGAAAAAAATAGATTTCGAGTTTTGGAAATAGTGCATCTTGTAATATAGTTTTGAATTGTCGATTTTCAAAATTTTCAAGTTTTCATAGATCTTCTTGATCTACACTATTTTTGAAGCTTTAAATTTTATAATTCAAGATGAAAACATATTTTAGGGCCATCACAAAGATTTTCAGTATTGAAACCACATTTCTCAACACTATTTGATGGTGAGTTTGACTTTGATTGTTTAGACCCTTGCATTATACAAACCACACCCTTTGGAAAAATATTAATATTAAAAAAAAGATAGTTTTTCATGACATTGATTAAATTATTTTTCAAAAAAGAAAATTTTTATATAAACTATCAATTTAGCATTATTGAAGTAAGGTGCCCCTCAAAAATCACTTAGAAGAGAGTATTCCGATGTTGGAAAACCCTTCATTTAATCATCTCAACCTCGATATGTATGGATATAAAAAAAAAAAAAAATCTCAAGTCTTAAAAATAGTAAATCTTATAATAAATTATCTGGACTGTCTATTTTTAAAATTGTTCAGTATTTTATAGTTCTGATTGATTTATATCTCGTTTAGAATTGTAAATTTCATAATTAGAGATAATAATAGATTTTAAAGTCATTCTAAAGCTTTCGATATCTGAACTACATTATCGGACAAAATGAAAATGTGTGCCTTATTTATATCGTATAAAGAGGGCATCTTACATAAACCTCACTCATCAAAAACCAAGTAAACGGTTATAGTTTTTCTATGAATTTGTTTATACTATTTGGTAAATAAGTAAATTGTAAAGAGCATGTATACTACACTCCGTGGGAGCATGGTTTGATCTACTCCTTAGGTTAGATGACCTACTTGAGAGCATTTTTGTAATTTAAAATTTTATTAACCACCTTATAATCACAAGATCATTATTCTCCAAAAAAAAAATTAATATTTTCTAACATTTAGATATCACCCTATAAAAGTTTAAGATATTCTATTCATTATTGTTTTCAATTGCTTAGAGGGTGCAATGAGGAAATCTTTTTTTTTTTTTAATAAGGTTAATTTATGCGTTAAAGAGGTTATATTCCCAAAATTTGAGATCCTAAAACTAATCCTAGGTGAGGTTTTATTTGAGAGAGTAAATGCACATTATACTCTCTCGAGAGTAGAATATTCACTAAACTATTCTTCAAAATATAATTTTCAACGGCATAAGCATCAAAACTATTAAGTTTCAGTTTTCAACTATGAACTATATGCAAAGTAAAACACATACATATATTCGCAACAAGGCCCATCAATATGGGCCCATGTTGTATGTTGACACACAACCATGGTATTCATGAATGACGGTACAACAATTAAGTCCTGTACATACATGCCATACAACCAATAATGGCACATGTAGATAAACGATGGATGGCACAAGTAACATGGGTGGTCCTAAAAGCATTCCTCTTGTTGATGTATGTGCGTATGCATACATGACAACATCAATGTTCTTACAATATTACGTATGTGCACGGAAAACACACTGCCAAGGGGCAATGGGCTGGATTGCCAGGTCGGCCCCACTAAATAAAATAAAAAAATAAATGTATAAAACCCAATTTACCCCAACGCAACTTTTTCTAAAACTTTTTTTCCAACTCAATAAAGACAGGAAAACTAGACTAAAATACCCTCTCTTGCCTCACACTAGACTAAAATACCCTCACCCTCTCTTGCCTCACATGTTGACCATGGCCGTCTGACATTTCATCATGACGGTCCAGTGTTTGGAAGAGCCGGTCCGGCATTTAAGTCACTGATTTGGAACGGTCTGGCACTTCATCATGGCGGTTCAAAGTTTAGAAGAGGCGGTCCAACATTTATTTCTAGATTAATGAGCAGTAAGGCATTTGTGAGCTACGGTCCGACAAAATTGAAAATTGGTACTGAAATAGGGTAGGTAAAGTGCTTAAAAAATCTATTTTTAAGAGGGTTTTCATGCAATTTTCACAAAAAAAACTAGGACTTGGCTACAAAATATAGCCCCGAAAACCGAGCTATAGCCAGGCAACTACAACGAAAGTACGGAAGGGCCGGTGGCTGGCTCTTATATTTGTTTTTGTTTTATTTTATCTAGGCCAGCCATACGGGTAGGATGGCAACGGGTCGGGTCCAAATCCCAACCAGACTTGACCGGATCCAATCCAAAACTTAAAATATATATGTATTTTACTATATTTAAATATATTTCATATATTAGGAACCAAAAAATATTACCATACCCAAACCCAATTTATCGGGCCTAATTTTTAAACCCATATGTGGACCCGGATCAGGTCCACCACTAAGGTCCCGGGTCGGCCTATGGGGACTCGGGCCGCGTGGACTAGGGAAAAAACAGCCCGGACAAAGCCCGGATCAGACCCCGCCCGGCCCGGTACCATGCAGGCGTTGGGTTAGGAAGAAAGGGACTGGTACAAAGGTGGCAAAGACAGTGGGGCAAAATAATAATTTGGAAGGGAGTGCGGTCTAAATCAAAAAGCTAGAGATAAGAAAACCGAGCACAAGCAAAAGTGTGAAACAGAATACATTCTCTCCCCAAATTAACGACCTCTTTCACCTATTCAATGCTTTGATGAGAGAGAAAAGGCAACCCCAACATATCCATTTGTTTGAGCCAAAGTTGAGGCCCAAAAGAGAAACCTGCACAGTCCGGTTGTTGCCATTGAGGAGACATGCCGACAACACCATGACCCACCAACACCAGCAAAACGGCCATGGTGGTCTCTCTCTCTAAACCTCCATGATGCTCTTTCTTTCTCTCTCTAAATATCCCTACTGTTCTCCCTCTCTATCTCTCTCAAGCTCTCCACTTCTCTCTCTCTAAAGACCCCCTAGTGGTCTACTTCTTTTTATCTCTCTAAAGCTCCTTTCTTCTCTCTCTCTAAAGATCCCTAGGGGTCTCTCTCTCTACAGTGCCTTTCGGTGTCATTTGTCACCCTTACAAGTTGGAATTAAATGAGTAAGTTATTATGCTCCATATACATTAGCATGCATTTACTCCCCTACCCCACAATATGTGTCCTACTCTCTATATGAACTTAATACTCAACAATCATCCCTCACTTTAAGTTTCTCTCTCTACCCTGAGTGATGTGCCACTACTATCAATTCAACTTATAACATCTTTTGCTTAACCATTGAATTGATAACACAATTTTTTTCCCATTCCACTCTTCAAAACCTTACATTCCTTCTTTCATGGCCTTTAAAATGCACCCCATATTCTCAATGCTTTCACTGTAAGGAACCTTTGTCTCCTTATTATAAACCCATCTCCTCCCTCCTCTCTCTATCTTCATCTCTCTCTCTCTCTCTCTTCAACTCTCTCTCTCTCTCTCTCGCTATTGGAGAACATAGAGAGATGGGAAGCTATGATGACTTTCAGGTTAAGATCAACAAGACTGTAATTGTGAGACCCAGTCCTCTTCTTAGCGAAAATGGTGTGTTGCCTCTCTCTAATATTGATAGAAAGTGCCCCATGTTCATGTACTCAGTGCACTTTTATGAGGCAAAGTTAAATTTTGATACCAATTTTTTCAATACATTGAGATCTTCTCTTGAAATAACTTTACATGTGTGGTACCCAGCAGCTGGTAGGCTCACTGTGAGCCCCATTAATGGAAAGCTTGATCTCCTCTGTAACAATGGAGGGGCTTTAATGGTTGAAGCAAAAACAGAGGTGGAGATATCACAGCTTGGAGAATTGACACAGTACAAGCCTTTCTATGAAAAGCTTGTTCACAAGCCTGGTTTTAATGGGGGTTTCTCTGATATGCCTCTTGTGGTTGTTCAGGTAAGGAAAAGCTCAAGTTCAGGGGGAAATAGTTAATGCAGGGTCTTAGGTTTAGAAGATATGAGTTATTTGCCTTTTAAGTTTTCTCTTTTTCCTTTTATTCAGACTATGTTTGTCAGATATTTGTGTTTGTGTACTATGTTGAGTTTGAAGGCTTTTTACTTTAGGGTTTATGGTACGAGAGAGAGAAAGAGAGAGAGAGAGGGGCCATGGGTAGCCAACGCAAGAGCACAGGTTCGAGTCCTGAGAGCGGCCACTTTGTGTATAAGCCAAATGCTAGGACCGCTTTCAGCCCATCCCTCCTACAACCCAGCTTAGGGGGACCAGCACTCGGTTACGGCCCATTCTTAGAGAGAGATTTTGGGAATTACTTTGGGATAGAGAATTACTTGGGGAGAGGTGATTAAATTGCGATAGGGAATGCAAATTTAGAGAGAGAAAGAGAGAGGTTTCATCTTTCTAGGTCTTGAGGGCTCAAATGTGTCATTGTGCATGCAGGTGACATGGTTTAGATGTGGTGGATATTCCATAGGAGTAGGGGCAAGCCACTCTCTCTTTGATGGAAAAGGCTTCTTCAATTTCCTAAGATCATGGGCTCTGAGAGCATCATCAAATGAAGTTTCAGAGCAATTGATGCCAGTTCATGAAAGGGGATATCTCTTGATTCACCAGGGTTCCAAACTTGGTAAAAATGGGGTTTTTAGGGTTCCAGCTTTTGATCACCTTCACCACCTCATTGAATTGGCATCAGCATGTGGTGATAGTGAAAGAAAGACTGGAAGGTGCAGGTTCTCTGAGATGGATTTTATAGCTATGGAAGATAACTATGCTTTCAAAACCTTTAGGCTGAGCAAGGAGATAGTAGAGAGCTTGAAAAGAAAAGTGAGCAATAGAGGGCCTCTTTCTGGTTTCTCCACCTTTGAGGTGGTGGCAGCTCACCTGTGGAAGGTAAGGAAACTGTAAAATTGATCTCTCTCTCTCTCTC